GAGAGAGAGAAACTGAAACTCTTCAAAAAGTTAAATAGTATTGGTGTTTTCCTTGTATACACAAAGCTTTGGGTTTGATGCTCAGAATCAACACACACACACACACACACACAAACAGGCAGTGGTGGCACATGCCTTCATCCCAACACTTGGGAGGCAGAGGCAGGAGGATCTCTGAGTTTGAGGCCACCCTGCTCTACAGAATAAGTTCCAGGACATCTAGGGCTACACAGAAAAAATTCTGTTTTGAAAAAATAAACAAACAGCCCCATGGGATCATCACCTGACCAGCAAGTCCATATCTAGACATGTCCAAAGGACTGAAGAGCCAGAAGCTGGGGAGATCCGCAGGGGTCAAAGTGCTTGCTGCTCTTTGTAATGCCAGGTGAGCGATGTAGCACCCCCTAATTCCAACAGGCTGTGGGGGGAGAAAGGGCCAGTCAAAGAAACACACCAGGAACAGAACCAAAAGAAACACACTTTGGCCCTGCAGCCAGAACCAAAGAAATGTACTCTGACCCTGAAACCAGTGCCAAAGAAACACACTTTGTCCCTGGAATCAGAGTCAGTGAAATAAATATACCCTGGCCCTAAAATTAGAGCCAGAAGCCAAAAAAGACTAGTGAAAGAAACACACTTTGGCCCTGAGACCAGAGCCAAATCTGACCATGTGTAGAAAACTAACCAATCCCTGAATAGGAGATCTAGTCAGTCAGAGCTCAGGGATTGAAATCTGACCAATCCCCACCCTGAAAATCTCCCTGGAAAAACTCTGCCCCTAAGAAGCCCTATATAAACCCTGTACCTGTTCAGCTTCTGGCTGTTCAGCTGCCTGGCTGTCCTCTGCAAACCTGGCAGAGGGCAGTCACTCTCCTGGACTCTTCCCTCCCAATAAATCTCTTGAATGAGGTTTGGGTGAGACCTTTCTTCTCCAGAATGGAGGGGAGGAGAGAAGTGACAACTTTTTGCCAGAGCTGAGAGAGCCTAGCAGGGCTGTAACACTTTCGCAGGGAAAACCTTCCCCTAACAAAGTTGTTACTCTCTGGAGGATCTGAGCCAAGCTGTAACAACGTCACCTGGGAAGCCCTCCCCTGCAGGAGGAGAGGTGTTACAGTGGAGAAGCCTTTCCCTAGAACAGGACTGTAAGCTGCTACACTTACTGTGACCTGTGGTATTCTTTGACTCCTGGGTACCAGAATACCTCTCCATCTGAGATGTAACACTCAGTATTCTGTGGCTTCCAAGTGCCAGAATCCATCTCCATCCCCATGCCATCCCAGCCGTCAAAATGCGTGCAGGCTGTCTTAGTTACTGTTCTATTGCTGGGAAGAGATACCATGACCAAGGCAACGTATAAAGCAGTGGTTCTCAACCTTCCTGACGCTGTGACCTTTTAATACAGTTCCTCATGTTGTAGTGACCCCCAACCATAAAATTATTTCATTGCTACTTCATAACTGTAATGTTACTAATTTTAAATCATAATGTAAATAATTTTGAAAACCCACAGGTTGAGAACTGCTGTTAGAAAAGTTTTGGAGTCTTGGTCCATGATCATCATGATGGGAAGTAGACAGGCACAGCACCAGAGCAATAGCTAAAAGCTTTATCTGCAGGCAGCTGGCAAAGGTGGGGGGAGGGGAGGGGAAGGGGGGAGGGGAGGGGAGAGGAGGGGAGGAGACAAGGACTGGTGCAGGCTTTTGAAACCTGAAAGTTCATCCACAATGACACCCCTCCAACAAGACCACACCTAATCCTCCTCAAACAGTTCTACTAACTGGGGAAGAATACAAGAATACAAACATGTAAGTTTATGGGGCTGATCAGTAAGAACAACTACACAGGTGAGCTCTGTGCTTGAGAAACCCTCAGTGAAGAAGGTGGAGCAACATAGGAGCATCCTGACATCAACCTAGGCAAGCCCACACGTGTGCAGCGTGCATGCGTGCACACACATACAAGGAAAATGGAAAGAGAAAAAAGATAATTCAGCACAAGTCCTCAGATGACTATTTCTTATGTGTGTTCACTCTGTTGCTGAGCGAAAGCATAAACAAAAGGTAGACACATATCTCATGGGAGATCACCCAGCCTTAAAGGACAGGGAATTCTGACACATGAACCTTAGGAATGCAGCAGCAACAAATCAGTAACCAAAGGACAAATCCCTTATATGGTAGAGCGTGGCAAATTAGTTTAAAGCATGCAGTTTCTGTATTTGCAAAGCTGAAAAGCATTCCACAGAGGACAATGCCTCAGCTCCAGGCTCTAAATACACGTCACTAAGCTGTATAGTTTGTAGTGACTACAATGCTAAGTTTTATCGTGAATTGTCACAATTTTCCAAAAGTCTGACACAAAATAATAATAAATTAAATTTAAAAACAACTTCCCAAACCTCTGTCAAATCAGTTCCCCTTTTCAGAAACTGGCACCTAATGGCACAAAATTGCTAAGGCTGAAAACCTAGGAATCATTCTCAGCTCTTGTGCCCATGTCCAATAGGGCTGAGGGACTAGCAGTTAGACAGATTCTCTGATAGGCAGACAGACAGGGAGAGGAGTCATGGGCAAGTAACCAAGATGGTAAACTTCCAAAATGGCTGCCTTTCTTTCTTTGTTCAAACTGACCAACTCTAAATTTGAGGGAAACCCCTTCAAAGACCTTTCAAACCCTTGGCCATGAATGAAAAAAAAGAAATAAAAGTAAGGGCATGACTACTCCTAGGTATGGTGGAGGTGAAAGTTTATTGCTCATGAAAGGGAGAGCATAGCCAGAGGCAGAGACATCTGGGAGAGTCCAGAGTGAATATGACCCAGAGTGGAGGAGGGAAAGGAAGAGGGGAGGGAGGGGGACCAGGTGCAGCAGCCAAGAGGCCAAAGGTACAAAAATGGCAGGTATCCAAAATGGCTGGATTATATAGGGAAGAGCCCCTGGGGTTAGGGTAGCCCAGGCCCTGGACTAGTGGAAGTTTGGGGTAAGGGGTACGCCAGCCATACCATGTAACAGGCAGGGACTGAGCGATGCTGGGAGAACCTGGTGGCCAGGTCTGCTTTGATGTGCTTGTCCAGTGTCTGAGACTTAACATCTCACTTTTTGCTGACAATAAGCGGTTAGGAGTGGCATAACCTTCTATGACTACTTCCTGTTGGCATTGGGGCATTGTTGTTGGAGACCCAAGAAAGTTGGGGTGATGGTCAAGGCCAGGAAGAGCAAGCCCTCAAGAAGAGACTTCCTCAGTCCCGCTTCTGCTCTGCAGAGGGCCTTTCTCCCTGTGTCTGCTTCCTGGCCCCTAATGACAGCCTTTCTTCAACTGCTTATTCTGTCTGGTCCTATTGGCTGTGTTTGAGAACTTCCCCACGTCCACCTGTTATGCTTGAGTTTTTCCTACCTTTCAGTTCTTTCACAGGCAGAGAAAACAAACCAGATCGAGACCCCTAGATAGTAACAATACTAGCCATGCCCCCCCTCTCTCTCAGTCTCACACACACACACACACACACACACACACACACACACACACACACCTGTGTTTGTATTTTATGGTGAGGATCAAGCCTGGGGCATCGTACATCCCAAGCTCTGTCTCTGAGCTACACACCCAGCTCCCTAAATATCTCCTATTTCACCCATTTATCTCTTCTATAGATGGATGTCACACTGTTCAGACCATAAGAAGCTCTTGCCTGTGTGGCTACCACAGCTTCCTAACCAGTAGACCTGTCTTCCTTCTTGTCAGCTCCTCAGCTCAAAAGCACCCGAAGAGTCTCCCAGACACACACACACACACCACACACACACACACCTTGGAACTGTCTACAGGTCCTCGTAGGTAGATTTCACCTCCTGCCCTCATGGGTGACCTATGTCCCGTGCCTACTCACTTTGATTGCTGTGTTCCTGTCATGCCTCCACTTTGTGACTCAGACATTCCAGACACATCCTCTGTCTTATAGTCAGTTCGCATGCTGCTCTGGTTGGTAACATCCCTTCCGCAGTCTTTACAGAGGCCGGTCTTTTCTTTCTTGCTGCTCAGCTCAGACATCGCTGTCTAGAATAGTGTTCCCTCACCATCCACTCCAAAGTAGCCACCACCAGGCGCTTCCTACGTCAGCATTCTCTCTGGCTCATTCTTGGCACCTGCCACTATGCGAAGTTTCTGTTTATTCTCCCCAGAGTATTGTATGCCTCCCAACTAAGATGTGAGTGTCCAGAAAATGAATATCACACTTCTCACCCAATTCCCAGAGCCCACGTCTGGCATGTAGCAGCCTATTCATATCTTGCATTTGCCAAGTGAGGAACCAAACTACATCAGTGACCCAGTGTCCTGGATGAATCCCACATACTCACCAAACTTTGGGGAAACGCGTCCTTCTTTTTAGTTTTTTTCCCTCTGTCCAGTTTTGTTTTCCTGTATAAAACAAGAAAGGGTCCCAATATAAATCATGGAGGGAAGAAGACAAGAGAAATGGGAGGGCAAAAGGTAAGCCTCACACAGCAGAGTGGGCAATGTCTCCACAGAGGAAGGCGAGGCTGCTTTTTCAGTGAAGTTTTCTCTACCTGAGTGTCCAGAGCAGGGCAAGGCAGCCGCTCTCCTCACTCTGGCTCACCTTCGTCCTTTTGTAGACGAGTGCTGCAGGGCTTGGAAGGCAGAGATTCGCTTGTGGGTTAATCCTACAGCTGCACTCCAGCACTGACTGCACTGGCGGAGGCCCTCTGAGGGAAAAGGCTTCCGGGATAGTGATACCTCTGGAGGCCAGCCATCTTCTGGAGGCAATTCAATGAGATCAAAGGTTTTGTCCAACCAGTCAGCTTTGGAATTTCCTCAGAAGAGAGGCTTTCAACAAAACATCTCTGCCAAGATAGAGCCAGCACTCCACACGTCCACCACTGTTGCAGGCGTAGACTACAGAAGGACTTCAGGAGCATGGTCCCAGAGTGTACCAACCACAGGTGTGAGGACCACCTGGTAGCTGTAGATTCTGGCTAAGCCAAAGTCAGCCAGCTTGACTGCCCCATTACATGTTGCCAGAATGTTCTCTGGCTTCAGGTCCTGGTAAACAATGCAATGTGCATAGAGAAAATACGGGCTGGCCTTTCCGGCGGTGACGACCTCCCTACGAGAACATGCCTCTCGCAAAGGATCTCCTTCATCCCTCTCCAGAGGAGGAGAAGAGGAAACACAAGAAAAAGTGCCTGGTGCAGAGCCCCAATTCCTTCTTTATGGATGTCAAGTGCCCAGGATGCTATAAAATCACCACGGTCTTTAGCCATGCACAAACCTTAATCCTGTGTGTTGGCTGCTCCACTGTCCTCTGTCAGCCAACGGGCGGAAAAGCAAGGCTGACAGAAGGAGGCTTCTTCAGGAGGAAGCAGCACTGAGAAGCACCTGATTCAGGATGCATGGGAACCATCCCAATAAACACATTTTGGATAAAAAAAAAAGAAAGAAAGAAAGAAAATACGGGCTGTTTACATACTGACCCATCAGATCCCTGATGGTCTCAACTGGCAAGCCTAGTGGGGGTGCTTGTGCAGGTATGCCCTTAGGTCCTAGTCAATATGCTCAAATACTAGGGTGACCTTGGTGTCTCCATCAGTTCAGGAAGTTGTACAGACATCCATTAGCCATACAGCTACAACAACATTAGGATACTCAAAGGCCTCCTGCCTCCTCAGAAAGGCCAACTCATAAACTGTGCTGATGGGAAAGCCGGCTCCAGTTTCTTCTCCATTAGGAACTCTCACACTCTTGAGGGTCATAAAGTGGCCACTGTGGGGATCTCAGGCCTTGTACATCATCCCAAAGGCACCAACACCAATTTCAGTCACTGGTTCATATGGAGAAGTAGCCATTGTCAGAGCAGGGAATTGATGTATGCCTGGCCAAGAGCTGTGGCGATGGCCCTTTATGGCCCAGGAGCTGACCAGTTCCTGAGGTGTCATACACTGGGGATCCATCTCGGGGTTCTGAACACTATGGGCCAAACCATAGACACAGCTCTTTTTTTTTATAAGGTCTCTTGATGTTCAGCTGACCTTGAAGTGGCTGAATTTCTCCTCCAAGTTGGTGGGGGGGGGTCATAGGCACACATCAGCACACACACTGAGAAATTGAATTTTCAGCACTAGTGTCATTGACATCTTTTCCTTGTGTTCTACAATCTGATAGCCTCCCTTCCAAGGGTAAAGGGAATACTTTACATTTCATGCTAACCCAAACAGAGCAAGTTACTACTGTTGTTAATACTCTGGAATTTTTCTCTTTTCTTCGTGTGTGTGTGTGTGTGTGTATGTGTGTGTGTGTGTGTGTTTTGCATGTGAGTATGCATATTTGGATGTGTTCACGTGCAGAAATCCAGGTGTCTTCCTGTCTCACTTTTCAATGTATTGCCTAGTGATAGGATCCATCACCAAACCTGGATCTCATTCTTATGACTAGACTGTGTAGCTCCTGGATCCCCAGAGCTCCTGGGATCCACCAGTCTCTGCCCCAACCCCTAGTACTGGGATTATAAACACATGCTGCCACACCCAGCTTTTGCATGAGTTTTGAGAATCCAAATTCAGCCCCTCACGCTTGTGAAGCAAGTGCTTTACCCACTGAGACATCTCCCCAACCCATATTGTTGCTTTTGAGATTGAATGTCTGGGGAGTGCTACAGAGTAACACATTCCCACTGACAAACGAAGCTCGGCTGGACCACTTCCTGCTAGCTCATAGCTGCTGTTTCCCGCCCATAGCATCCATTTGCAGGGTAGTAGTGCTTAGGATGTTGGAGAAACTCCTATTCCTCCAGTCTGATGTTCTGACCCAATGAAAATAGTGTTTTACAGTTGTCTATGCAAAAAAAAAAAAACCACACCGTGATACTTAATCTTGATTGGATTAAGAAGCACCTAGGAGATCTGTAGAGCATAGCCTGTCCACGAGGGAGCTTCCATAGACTAGATGGTGAGTATTCTAATTTAAGTAATGGGTCAATCCAGTGACAGACTCAACATTGAAAAGAGTGAGTAGGAGTTGGAGAAAGTGGATCATTGGGGTGTGGTGGAGGGGCCTTCAAGCGTCTGTCTTGGCACTGGCTCTGTCCTATGGCTCCTCTGCTTTCATAACTGCCGTGAAGCGAGCATGTGTGCTTTGTCACTCCCCAGCATGATGATCTGCCTAACCACAGCCCTTGAAGCAATGGAGCCAGCTGACATGAAACCACCCAAACCATGAGCCAAAATAAATCCTTCCTCCTCTAAGTTGTTTCTCTCAGTATTTGTCACAGCTTCAATGACAATAATAATAACAACAAACTGACTTACACAGCTATTTCAAAGTTTTTAAGGTTGTTTTCATTATTTTTAATTATGTATAGGGGAGTCTCAATATCTCAATAGAGAATGAGAAGGTACTTCAGTGATTCTCTGTGACTAACTCATTTAGCTTATAATAATGTCCTCCAGATCCATTAAATCTTGTCAGTTTGGAAATCACAGGATTTCATGATTCTTTTAATGACAGAATAGTTTTCCATTGTGTGTATGTATGCCCATATATATGTGTATGTATATTATATATAGACACATGTATTTATGCATATACATACACATATACAGGTATACACACACGGCACTCTCTCTCTCTCTCTCTCTCCTTTGCACTTAAAGACACACACATCGTCCCATTTTCTCACCTACCCCTGTGCTCTGAGAAACAATTGTTCAGTCTGCAGAGATGGCTCAGGGGCTAAAGTGCTTGTTGCCCAAGCACGATGACTCAAGTTCAGTGTAGGGAAAAGGGTCCAGTCAAAGAGACACACCATGAGCAGAGCCAAAGAAACACACTTTGGACCTGCAACCAGAACCAAAAAAATGTACTCTGACCCTGAAACATTGCCAAAGGAACACACTTTGTCCCTGGAACCAGAGCCAGTGAAAGAAATATACCCTGGCCCTAAAAATAGAGCCTAAAGACTAAAAAGGACCAGAAAAAGAAACACACTTTGGCCCTGAAACCAGAACTAAATCTGACCCTAACCATGTGCAGAAAACTAGCCAATTCCTGAGCAGGAGATTAAAATCTGACCAATCCCCACCCTGGAAGCCCTATATAAACCCTTTGTCTGTTCAGCTTGTGGTTGTTCATGCTACCCTGATGTCCTCTGCCACTGTAGCAGAGGGCAGCCCCTCTCCTGGATTCTTCCCTCCCAATAAACACCTTGAATGAGCTTTGGGTGAAGATCTTTTGCATCAGAGTAGAGGAGACCCTGGGCAGGGCAGAGCAAGCAGGCTGTAACACTTTTGCTGGGGAAACCTTCTCTTGGCAGAGTGAAGTTGTTACACTCAGCTCTCTACTCTCCAGGGAGCAGAGTTGAACTGTAGCAACTTTGCTCCGAGAAACCTTCTCAACATCCCCAGCTGGAAGACCACCTCCTCCTGGAGCAGAGCTGATACATTGGGAAAGCCTTTCCCTGAAGCAGGCTGTAAGCTGTTACGCTTACTGCGACCTGTGGTAGTCCTTGGCTCCCGAGCTCCAGGATACCTTTCCACCTGAGCTGGGTAACACTCAGTATTCTGTGACTCCCGAGTGCCAGAATACCTAACCCATCCCGATCTACCCAAAATGCCTACATCCTTTCTATTGTCTGTGACCCCAACCATGGAATGGTGCAGCTAAGAGTTAAGATGGGTCTTCCCACCTCAGAGAACCAAATCTAGACTCCTCTCAGGCAGGTCCAGAGGCGTGTCTCATAGGTGACCTTAGATCTTGTCAAGCTGACAATATCAACCGTCACATGGACTGACTCATCTTCCAGGCCCAGATTCTGATCTTTTCTACCATGACCGGAGGCTATGCTCTCAGTCAGTACACTGCACTGTACTATCTTTTATCTTGGGCACTGTAAGAAGGACTGTAAGTGTGTTTGTTCTTCAGGATACCGGTTTGACTCAAATAGTCAGTGTGCTAGTTATCTATTGCCTCAGAGCATCATATCCCCAAACGCACAGCTTAAAACAGCAAATGTTTGCCAGCCTCAAGATTCTCAGTCTCTCACAAAGTCCAAGTCAGCCTATTACCATTCTTTCAAGACTCTATGATGCTGAGGCAGTCACACTGAAAATTGTATGCGAGTTCCACACATGTAAAATAAAATTTTTTAATTTAAATAAATTTTGTAACTGTTACAGAGGCCTAATTCTGGGGATCTGAACAGACCAGATTCTTCCATGTGTGTCTTCCAGAGTCCAAACAGCAGAGAGAGATGAGCAGTAGCAAAACTGCAAGAGAATTTATTTTCTCTAAGCCCAGCTTGGGAAGACAGTGAATCCAGCCATATATATATATATATATATATATATATATATATATATATATCATTCCAGATATTAGCGATAGCTCCAAGATTATAAACAGAAAGGAGACAAAGCAAAAAACAAACAAAAAAGGTGGTATGCCTTGAGATCTCAGTCAGTGATTTGGTTGATCCTGACCTCAGAGTTGGTTCTGTGGGTCCTGCTGGCATCAGAGAGCCACAGAAACTGGGACTGCTTGGTTAGTTCCCAGCAGGGTTCACATTCCTGGAATTCCAATTAAGTTGGTGTGGTGGTTTGAATAAGAATCTCCCCCATAGGCTCATTGATTTGAATATTTGGTCACCAGGGAGTGGCACTATTTTAAAGGATTAGGATTGGAAAAAAGTGTGTCACTGAAGGTGAGTGTAGGGAAAAGGGACCAGCCAAAGAAACACACCCTGAGCAGAGCCAAAAACCACACTTTGGCCCTGCAACCAGAACTAAAGAAATGTACCCTGACCCTGAAACCAGTGCCAAATAAACACACTTTGTCCCTGGAATCAGAGTCAGTGAAAGAAATGCACCCTTGCCCTAAAATTGGAGCCAAAAGGCTAAAAAGGACCAGAGAAAGAAACACACTTTGGCCCTGAAACCAGAGTCAAATCTGACCCTAATTCTGTGCAGAAAACTAACCAATCGTGGAGCAGAGCTCTAGCCAATCTGAGCTCAGCATTAAAATCTGACCAATCCTCACCCTGGAAGCCCTATATAAACCCCGTGTCTATTCAGCTTGTGGCTGAGTGGCAGAGGACAGCCACTCTCCTGGATTCTTCCCTCCAAATAAACCTCTTGCTCCCAATAAACCTCTTGGATGAGCTTTGGGTGAAGATCTTTTGCAGCAAGCGTGGGGGGGGGGCAGAGGCGACCCTGGGGGAGCAGAGCAGAGCAAGAAGGGCTGTAACACTTTTGCCGAGGAAGCCTTCCCTTGGCAGAGAGGAGTTGTTACACTCCGCTCTCCACTCTCCACTCTCCCGGAGCAGAGCTGAACTGTAGCAACTTCGCCCGAGAAACCTCCTGCCAAGCAAAACTGCTACACTGGGCAAACATCCCCAGCTGGAAGACCCTGTCCTGCCCCAGCAGAGCCAATACAC